GAGTATACTTAGTGTATGTGTGCTACCAGATGGGTCGTTTTTCTGCGGGACATCTGATGCCATCATATTCAAGTTGCATACCACCTCCGATGTGCCGGCAGTAAGGATGAAGGTGCCTGGACCAAAGAAACAAACGGGGCCGGTATCGAAAAAAAGGAAACAGAACAACTCATCCGTTTACATGGAGGGAGATACCAGCACAGATGCAGGTGAAAGTGGCAACGAGATACAACCTGCCAATGGAGTAGACGAGAGTGAACCACAGGTATGGGCACTAGTTTACATCCCAAAACACGGAATACTCGCAAGTGGCGATTCCGTGGGCAATGTTATACTCTGGGATGTGAAAACATGTACTATGCATAAAATGTTCACGCAACATTGTGCAGATGTTTTGTGCCTGGCAGTTGGCTCTGATGGTGATACCCTCTTCTCTGGAGGTGTAGACACACAGATAACTGTATATGCCTATAGTGATAGGAACTATAATAAAGAGAGTTTACCTGTGGGTTGGAGAGCCAACGGGGTGAAGCACTACCACAAGGGAGATGTCAGGTGCTTCGCAGTACACCCAAATGATAACCGTATAGTGAGTAGTGGCAGTGACGGCATATTGACGATATCACGTGGTCTAAAGCATCAAAACAGCAAGAAATGTAGAACCAACTTGATATTGTTGAATATCTCAAGCTGGGTAGCCAGCCCCGTTGTCATGAGCAGGGATAAAACCCTGGCACTTTGCCGGTACAAGGATCACTGTGACCTGTGGTATGTCTCCAAGGAATCACAGGACGAACCGGAAATGCCTTATAAGCTTGCAGCTATTAAGCTTAAAAAAGAAGGTGGACAGATTGTAGCGGCACAGATATCACCGGATGCACGCTTTATTGCTGTGGCAAACCAGAAGCACCTGAGAGTACTCAGATTCAATGTAGACAATCTGGAAATAGGATCGGGCGAAACATATCTAGAAGGTATCATGGTAAACGCGATGCATTTTGTTTCTAGTACAAAGTTGCTATTGTCCTATCTCAAGCCTAGAACAAACACGTTTCTGCTATCTACGTTAGATCTTGAGGATGGAAATATCGAAAATATTGAGCACAATATAAGAGAACCCATTATTAAAATCGATGTGGCACGGTTTAACCTCGATGAGAAGCTGGAAAGAAAACTTGTTACGCTGTACAGCCTGGAGGGATTTGTGTACTTGCTGGATTTAGATACAGCCGAAATTTACGAATTGCCAAGGTTCGAAAATGGATACCGTGTTGTGTGTACCAGTGCTAGTCCGGATTTCAAGTACCTTGCAGTCTTTTCCAAAGGTTCCCTGTTCTACTTCTACAGCCTGGAGAAACGGACAATCGTCGCTTATGACGGTGAAACTATACACCGCGTACCAAATAGAATATGCAACAGCAACGTACAGATTCTTAATGCACTGTGGCACATTCAAGGTGATCTCAATCGTATTTTCATACAAACTTCGAACAACGTATACTCAATCACGATTGAGGAACAGTTGTTTGGAGTAGAGGATAAACGAGTTGTGGAAAAACCGGTGGTACAACATGCTGTTATTAATACAAAACAGAAAATTTATATAGGGCCCAGGAAATTCAGTGATGTGCCACGTGCCAAAAGCTCGCTTTATCAACCACCGGTACTGCTCTGGCGTTCGATGGAGCAACAGCAGAAACTCAAGAAAACTGGGACAGAGGAAAATGTAGAGATGGAACAGACACCACTAGTAATAGGAAGGTACACAGGAATTAATAAATCAAAGTTCCTTGTGCATCTTGAGCTAGAAGCTAGAGAGCAGGGCGTACTGCTAATTGCCTTTTACATGGCACCACCACAAAATAGCATATTCCACAGGAAACGATATGGAACATGATTATAATAATTTGTCCAATTGTTTGTCAACCAGTGTATTAATGCGACACTGTAGAGTTTCCTGTAATTCCGATGCTGCAAAAATAAAGTTTGTACCAAGGTGGTGACTCACCTATGTTTGCATCCTTCTCCTTCTCTATGGCGGATACTAGATCCGCTACGATACGGTCACGCTTCACGCGTTCTTCCACTTTCTGCATGAAGGACTCGTCCAGCTTCATAGATTCTATCTCCATGCGACGCTGTGACACTATAAGATAGAAAATAGGTAAATCCACCTTTAGACAGACTGCAGTAGCCCATGCAACGGCTATACCACTAAACTGCCCAGGATCTACAGAAAGCAGACTCGTTAAACGCTTCTTTGCGCACTCAACAAGACGAGGTGTATCCGATATTCTCTCGTTGGTGATGCGACCTGATAGGAATGTATAAACAAAGGGTAAATTTTACCGATAGTTTGTAGTACATCCCGTTCCTTGAATATAACTGGTTTGCTTCTAAAGAATTATTGGACACCATGGGAGTGACATACCTAAATATCGTATCAGATTGGCATTCCACAATGGTCCTGATTCTACAACGGTTATAGGCACGACGAGCAGCAATTGTAGAACGAGGGGTGATATTATCTGCACGAATACCGACAAAGCATGCTTGATCTGAACTTGACACTCCGTCCAATGCTCCCGTAGACGGTAGACTGTTCCGAAGCATGTTGAAGGTTTCGGAGATTCTGTCAGAGTAGTCGCCAGGAGCACAGCGAAGTGAAACTGTGCCAACCTTCCGCAGCGTATCCTCGACAACCAAACAGTATGCTAAGTGTGCTCCATCTATGGCAAGACCCAAATAACGGTCGAGGGACCTCATTGTACCCATGGTGTCGCGACAGTAGACACCTCAATGATGTAGTACCAACATTGTGTCACACATGGCGATATAAATGTGCAAATGGTCGTTGCTATGATACAGAAGACCCAATACGACGAAAAAATTGTTTGATGTGTGACTAAAGCATCAAATAGGTGGTGGAATCTCTCCACAAGTCAACCCAGCAATGGGGAGATAATTTGCCTATAGGAACGATTTCTATTCTAATACATTCTTTGTATTATATCGGTAGTTGAAATGGGCACTTTCCACGGGTATCAGAAGAACATCGAGCTCAATGATGACGGCACGCCAGTATTGAACAACGCGGATAACGAACAATTTCACGCTACATTCACTGATGTTGTGCTCAAATTTAATGAAAACGATCATGGTAAGTACTCCTGTGTCTGATTTCATCACAACATCGAACAGGGAGTGGAACCATCTACGTAACTTCCGGTAGGATCATATGGATCGCAAAGCAAAACCCTGAGGTTTCCTATTCGTTTCCATACCTGTCTATGGTATTACACGCTATTTCAAAGGACAAGGCTCTGTATAAAACGCCTTGCATATTTATACAGCTGCAAGGAGATGGTGACGAAGAAGGTGAAGGAGAGATACCCATAGTGATCTTCGCACCCATGCAGACAGGTAATGTAGAAGCTATATTCGAGGCTATATCACATATGAACTCGCTAATTGAGCCTGCTGCCTCCGATTTAGAAGACGAATCAGTAAGCTATTTACAAATAATATCTATATTAACGGTAGGATTTCGACGAAGAAATGGAAGAGGAATAACCTACAGCATACTATGCAGATGGTACATGCAGGTCATTGTTATATGGGCGGCCTGCAGCATTGTGAGTAATTATATGTTTTAAAACCTACAACCAGTAATCTAATATGTTGCTCTTACTGCGGTCACTACGCTGCAATGATTTGTATTCCTCCGAAATCACGTCACGATAATCAGCTATACCCTGCTCAAAAGCTTTCTGCACACGTAATCGTGTAGGCCAGTGCACATTCTCGAAGAGAGTTACCATAATATCCCTGTCACGCTCAGGAACCATGGGCAGCAAGTGCCAAGCATTGGGAACGCGGAATTCCTATATAGTTTTGATCATAAGATAGTATAGACCTACTAGTGCATAGTCGGGACGGATGTCCATGCAGTCGATTAATTCCTCAATCATGCCTTCCTCGTCCCACTGGGGAAATAGACCAGGAGCTGTGGCCTTACCATATTTAGCTTCTAGACGGGGATCCTTCTCCAGTAGTTCGCAACGTGTCCAAAACCTGGGAACCACATAGAATTGTAATGTTCCACCACGCGCATAAAAAATACGCACTAAATCCGTGATGTCACCCTCAAAAAAGATTTCGCATAATGGCATCCTTATGTCAATCTTCATCTTCAGTATCTTAAGTTGGTCCCGCGAAAAGTGAGAACGCACAGCCTTCACGAATGACTCCAGACGCTCTTCATCACGTTCAAGCAGCTCACAGTAGTTGCCGAAACTCGATCTTATGATCCAGAGAGTTGGGTGCACAGGCTTAGAGCCGCCGGGGTTGGAGGCCGCCATCTGCTTGAGATGTGTTATCCTATTCTCCAGTTTCATCCGTCCTTCAGGAGATAAACGATAGTTGAAAGGTATGTCCCGTATCTTGGTAGTAGAATCTACAACGTTGGATATCCTTGGAGTGTCTAGGTTGTGCTCTCCAAACAAGAAGTTCTCAGAAGGATCATCATTTCGGTTCTTAGCAGCTTCCTCCATGACGATATCCTGCCAACGTTCTACATCACGCCTAAAGTAGCAATATTGAAGTGATGGAACTGAAACGTACTGTTGAACCGTTGAAGCACCAACGTCAACGTAGTCGTCTAACTGTTGCTTGAAAAGATTCTTCCTATCTTTATTGCCCCGGATAGCTCCAAGACTCATTAAACGAAGGTTTGAGCTCGTGAGCTTTTGCCGCAGCCGTTGGTTGCATCTTACAGGATTCCTGTTACCAAGAAGGTGCAAGAAGGCCTTGCGATTTAGACACCCCGACCGGGGTAAAACAGCCAAAAGGCTGCATAAAATTATCGCAGTACCTAACACACCCTTACATGGAATCATAAAAAACAAATATGGCCAAGGAGTTTACTATAGTAGACATTGTTTAGATAATAGAAACATGTTGAATGGGTAAATAAATTGATAATTTGGGTCCTCAGGAGGGCCGTCTTAGCACAGGGGTTAGTGCGTTTGATTCGTAATCAAAAGATCATGGGTTCGAATCCCATAGACGGCTTATCTCTACGCATTAGGCTTTGTTCGTTTTTACGATTCACACTATTATTTTAATTGTACAGCATAGCATATATTTTAATTAAGGGTTTTTATTAGTCTGCATTACGGTGTACAGGCACTACCTGTAAGATGAGCAACTAGTAGCAATCTTAGACTTTGCCATCAGCCTTCTCGTCCTCGAAAAGGCTATACATCACTTTCACTTCCTGCTTGTAAATCGTCTCATCGCCTTGTATGTCGGGAGTTTCGAGGATAATGGGCATATTACGGAAGTAGCCACTGTTGGCAATAAACTCGAAGGTCTCACGGGTAAGTTTCCCTATACCAATGTTCTCGTGACGATCCAAACCGCTGCCTAAGTCTGATTTGCAGTCGTTGAGATGAACTGCCACGAGGTAATTCAGTCCAATGATTTTGTCGAACGAACGCATCACCTCCTCAAATTTCTCCTTGGTACGGATATCGTAACCTAACAGTGATGATCCAAATATATTCATGGGAACAAACCTGCAGCAAACAGATGGCATGTGTCCAAACATACAGCGATCTGCGGTTATTCAAACAAGTGCATATGCAACCAACCCTATCTTTGTTCTCGACCAAGTTGATGATGTCACGCAAATCCTCAAAAGTCGAACCAATAACATTCTTCTGACCAGCAGCATTCTCGAGGACAATCTTCGCAAAATTGGTTTCTTTCATCGCCATGTTGATGCAATTCTGGACAAACGTGGGTGGGTGGTAGTGATTACTTACGGCAATGTTACGGATTCCTTCTGCCTTATCACACATTCCAACAGTAGACCCTGCAGATGTTAGAAATGATGTGGAATCAACATACCCGGGTGAAAGTTGTACAGAGTAATGCCCAATTTCTCACAACGCTGTATGTCGTCCACGAAGTGGTGATATGATTTCATGCGCTTGTCCTTGTCGGGATTAGCAATATTGATCAGATAAGAACCGTGAGGTAGGATGTATCGCAAGTCATATTTGTGTTTCGCGATCATGTCTGCGAATTTTGCCACAGTCTGCTCAGAAAGGGGTGGACTGTCCCAACGACGTTGGTTCTTGAGGAATAATGCAAATGCCTGACCTGAAAACATTTATAATAGCTCGAGAGTTGTTAATGCGTCGGATCTAGAATATATAAATCGGATGGGACTTATCGTAATTTGATGATTACGCATGTTCCGAACAGTAACGGTCTAATGCAACAATGGTCATCACACTTACCGCAGATGTTATAGGCATTCGTCACAGCATTTTCCAACCCGCCAGCGGTAGATATGTGAGCACCAATATGTAAGCCTGAACGTGCACTCGCGGCGGCTATCTCAGCAAAAGCGGCAGCCCGGTCTTCCTTGGGGTCTATTAAAAATAAGAGAATATAAGCAAAAGACGGTACCAAGCTTTGGAAGTTTAACCCATGGTTTAGGCTTCTCTGAAGGTGCCTTTACCAATAGTTTGGTTTGCACTGCCTTTTTAGGAGCTCCTTTGGTAATTCCAGTCTTCTTTGTCTTGACTGATGACGCTTTAGATGATGTGGAACCGTCGTCTGACACATCGCTGACCATGGTGTCCGTGGTAGACATTGAAACCAAATTGCTAGAAGCACACATCGTGGTTAAATATAGGCGGGGAATTTTGATAAAGGATGGTAGGGACCGCGAAACAGATGCCGCGTCAAATAGATGTACAGCCCGTGTAGGAATCCGAAATATAAAAGAGCCAATGACTAAAACTGTAAATAGACGATTGAAAATATGTAATCGTGTTTTGTGCTTCATCAAAAAACACAGAAGATGTGCTACTATTAGTGAATTAACACGTCATAGCGACGGGCGATGGAACCTAACACACTCAAGTTATATCAATGTGTCGATCAATGCGTTGCGCAAAGTGTGGGAGTCTGACACCGATGCATCAAACTCCTTGGGGCGTGAGAGCTGGAAGATACGCTCAATGGTTGCAATCTCCGTGGCAGTGGTAGACATACCACAAAATGCTACCCAGTCGTTGGCAATCAGGCCTGTAGTATAATTAAATAAATAATATTTAACACCTACCTCCGCCTATCACATCTGAACCACGATTTACAGTCCCTGAAGTCAGAGGAATCTGGAGTAACTGTGACAATTCCTCCATCTCGTCAGTGGTTGTTTTTACGTGCACCAGACCACCTTTGTTTTGGAAACGACAGTAGCTCCCGATTAAAACATTTCCTGCGATAGAAGCGCGAAAGACCTCGATTCCAAGCACATCTTCCACAATCTCCTCGGTCTCCTTGTCGATATCCACATGGATTAGACCCACATAATCATTACACGTAATTACGTTCCCAAGAGCAGATAAACGGTCGTCAATTCGACGAATCTCTACCGAATCGGGTAGAGAGTTACGTAGGTGTCGCAATTCTGTGTCGGTACAGATGCTTGAAACGAGGAGGCCCTTACGATTACCTGTACAATAGTATAACCAATATATATGGAATATATATTTAATTATAAATAATGCTTACCAACTGTCACACTTCCAACGACCCTAGTACCACCAATCGTTGTTTGGACCACTGGGATCTGTGGCATCAACTCAGCCTCGAAAACGCTGGCGAAATTACAAGAACTACCCAGCGATACCAACGCATAGGAATTTGTTAGGGTTGCAAACACGCCAACCTCGTTGCTGTTCTCGTACTGCGTCCCTGAAAACCGTTATGGCGCTTGCCTGGGCACTCACTGATCGCCATAGTGGCAAAAGTTGGAGAAAGACAGACTCGAACTGGTGGCTTATAACGTAAATATAAGCTTTCTAAGGGTCTGTCAAAGATTGGGTTCCGTTAATAAAAGCATTTTCTAATGCAAGTACTCGGGGATGTGGAGGTGAAGCATCATAATTAAGGCACCATAAATGGAAACAGAGATGGATTCATATACACATTTAACTCACAATGAGAGGAATGTACTATAACTCTTGAATACCGCCTTATGGGCGCAGACATAGATTTGACATATCGCAGCAACCACACTGACAAGAGTAGATGTATGCCAACGTAAACCATGGACGACAATAAGGGTGTTACTGTCACTTCGAGTGTGGATTCCTCCAACTGGGTACTTGAAGACGTTGGAAATATACCTTTGCAGCTTGTAGCTCAGTCCAGACCGCGCAAAAAGCAACATGTTGTAAAGAAAGAGGAATCGCAAAGTGAGAAGAAAGTACTGCTCGTTCATGATGAGGTACCAGTTGGTAAGTCATTTAAGGATCTTGGAGTACCAGAATGGTTAATACAACTAGCGTCATCTGTAAGTATTACAACTCCAACTAAAATCCAGGAATTGTGCTTACCAGCTGCGCTAAGTGGTAGTAACATTATAGGATGTGCACAGACAGGTACAGGTAAAACTATATGTTTTTGTTGGCCAATCTTAGTCGCGTTGGCAAAAGATCCATATGGAGTCTTTGGGCTTGTACTAACTGGCTCTAGAGAACTTGCGTTCCAAATTGGGGACCAATTTAATGTCTTCGGTGTACAGATGAACATACGAATATGTGTCTGCGTTGGCGGTGCCGACTTCGTAGAACAGTCTCTTCAGTTGGAGGCAAGACCACATGTAGTAATAGCCACGCCAGGAAGGCTGGCAGATCAAGTGGACATTAAGGAACGCAATATAGCAAATGTTTTCAAAAAGGTCAAGTATCTCGTTTTCGATGAGGCAGATAAACTTTTACATCAAACTTTTGAGGAACCACTGAAAAAAATCATTAGTTGTCTACCCACGACAAAGGACGGAAGGATTACATATCTATTCTCCGCAACAATCACAAAGTCAATAGAGACTTTGTGTAAGTCATTCAAAGATACTCAATTCCATTTTTTTGATGTAACAAAGGGGCAAGAAGCGCCGTTCCACGAGATGGACCTCAAACAGCAGTACCTCTTCCTGCCGCAAAATGTACACCTACCGTATCTAGTTCATCTGTTGCAAACGCAGCTCATGGATAAGGATACAGATCAGGGTATTATTTTCACTGCTACCAAAAGGCGTTGTCAACTTGTAGCAGTGGCACTTGAATTCATGGATTTCAAGGCTACATGTGTACACTCACTCATGAAACAGAGGAAGAGGAACGCATGTTTAGCTAAATTCAGAACAGGTGTATCAAATATACTCGTGGCAACTGATTTAGTTGCCAGAGGTATCGACATTCAGGCTGTATCATTTGTGGTAAACCTAGACTTCCCAGGGTCCACAGAAGACTATATACATAGGGTTGGTAGAACTGCAAGATCCGGCAGAACTGGTGTTGCTATATCCTTTATAGACGAAGACGACATCGAAAAGTTGAAGTCTGTGGAAAAGGAAGCCAACGTCACATTGGAGAAATTAGAGGTAGACGACAGCCAGGCAGTCAAATTGCTAAATAAGGTTTCTATAGCGACACAAAGGGCTAAAGTCTACCTTCAGGAAAATGATTATTTCCAACGTAAATAAAGAGTCGTAACTAATCAATTTGTTATTCTAGATACCGCCGCTCCACCGTGGTGATGTGTGTATAACCTTCCATGGGATTGCCCGGCGGAACGGTACTTAATATAATCCATACAATGTGATATATTCCATGAGATGTGAATTAGCGCAGCGAAGGCGCATAATACATGGAGTAAGGGTGCTATGTCTTCTGTGTCTGCCATTAGCTGCGTTGATATGGAGCCTTCCCCTTGTAAATGCCCGGAAGTTGGCGCCTATAAGGTGTCCAACAGCTTTATCAAGCAGCTGTAGAAGAGGGATATTGGCTCACATAGACAGTTGTAGCTCTAGGGGGAAAGGAGTATCGCAAACACAGCAAATCCAGAATGACAGATATGACGCTAAGTTCTCCAGGCTCTCGCTGGTCATCAGTGGGAAAGGTCTCGAGCGACTACGTGCGTCAAATGTACTGGTTGTCGGTGTATCCAAGTTGGCATCGGAAATTATTACACATCTTATTCGATCTGGT